AAGAAAGACCATATGAATGTGATATTTGCCATAAGTTGTTTACGCTGGCAAACAGTTTACGGAAACATAAAATATTACATTCTGGTTATAAACCATATGTATGTGAAATATGTCAAAAAGCATTTGCCAAAAAAGCTAGTTTAGATCGTCACAAGGGTACACATGATGGTGTACCGCAATGGACCAAACCATTTACAAACGGTGCAAAAGAAAAGCGAATGACTAACACTGATAAGCCTTTTAAATGCCATATTTGTTTCAAGTCGTTTGCTAGTGTAAATGGAATGACTAGACATGCAGCCAAACATAACGGACTAGATCAGTTTCAGTGTGAAATTTGTAACAAGACTTTCACGGGTTTGTCAGTACTAGCTAGACACAAACGAATACACACGGGAGAAAAACCATTTCAGTGTGACTACTGTCACAAGGCGTTTGCTTATTCATCAATACTAGTATCTCACCGACGCACTCACACTGGGGAAAAACCTTACCAATGTGATCTTTGTCCCAAAGCTTATACTCAATCCTCCAGTTTAATAGTTCATAAGCGAACCCATTGGAACCACCAACAAGCAATTAACCCAATCGAACATCCAACGACTGTACCACTAGCCACTGTACCAAGGACAACAAATCAATACGAATTGCCAACTACTTCGGATGCAGACGACTACACCGACAATTGGTCGAGCTGGTATCCTAGCGAACCTGATATATCTCTTGTCACAAATGAACTGCCTACCGAAGAGCCACTCATTCAAAATACTGCAGTCCACTTACCCGTACAAACCGCGCCCACCGACCATAATGAGAAAATAGACTTACTCATGTTGCCGCAGAAGTTCAAGTGCGCCAAGTGTAAAGAAGCTTATGACGAGAGTTTTATGTTATTGAAACACATTAGGGAAGTGCACAGGTCTGTGACGGTCAAAGTGAAGAATACGTCCACGTTAAAAGCCGATGACGTGGTCAAGCGGAAAAAAAAACGTGGAGAACGTCAACGATTGGAATGCGACATTTGCCAACGGCCGTTTAACGACTCGTACAAACTGAAAGTTCACCGACGAACACACACCCGGGAGAAGCCGTTCAAATGCGACACGTGCGACAAGTCGTTCATCGACTCGTGCAACCTGAAGGAACATCAAAAGGTGCACACCGGCGAGAAACTGTTCGAGTGTGACATATGCCAGAAGACGTTTTTGCAGTTGGGCACATTGACCACGCATCGGCGCACGCACACCGGCGAAAAGCCGTACAGCTGTGACGTGTGCCACATGACTTTCGCGTTGCTGAGCAGCATGAAGACGCACAAGCGGCGAGCGCACACCGGCGAGAAGCCGCACAAGTGCGATTTCTGCCAGAAGGCGTTCGTTAAGCGCAACGACATGGTCCGGCACCGCAGGACGCACACGGGCGAACGGCCGTTCGTGTGCGACATTTGCCATCAGTCGTTCACCCAGTCGTACGTGCTGGTGCTGCACAAGAGAAACCACCATTCGGGCGACGGGACCGGCCCGGCCCCGCCGACGGACAAGACGTGTCGGTCCGCGCCGCCCCGAGACAAACCGTTCAAGTGCGGCGCGTGTCACAAGTCGTTCGCCAGTCAGTCGACGTTGAACACGCACAACCGGACGCACACGGGCGAAAAACCGTTCCACTGCGACGAGTGTGGCAAGTCGTTCACGCAGTCGTCGGGTCTAGTGGCCCATCGTGCCGCCCACCACTCGGCGAACAAGCCACCGTTCGGGGACGCGAACGCGCTCGACACGAACCAAAGCAGACCTCAGTACGCCGTGCAGGCCCCGGATATTCACAGGATACCTCAGTACGCCGGCGACAGGCCGTGCGAGTGCGCCGTGTGCCAGTCGTCGTTTATCCAGCCCGTTCCCGCCGTGATCGAGCACTTCGACCATCCCGTCGCGATCGCCCCCTCGATGTCCAACCGCAACATGTATTACGGTTAAGCCTGATAGATCCATTTCACACGCGCCAGTGGATGTGCCCGCTGGTTTCGGTGGTTTGTTTGAAGTTACACCCGATCGCCGGGTATGTGTGAAATGTGTCTTAGGGTGTCGAGGCAAACTCAATAGAAAACAATTATATTCATTTAAGTAATTATTTGGGGCGAAAATTTAGGCAATAAAATTGCTATACTCACTTTGCGTGGCCGCCATATACATGCGTGTGTATGACGTCCTCGGAAAACAGGTATAGATTTTTCAATATTTCATGATTTATGAAAGAATGATTAGAAAACTAATATAAATTTTACATTGTTCACCAATTCTCATTAATCTATTTATTTTATACATTATTCCTTTTTAGTTTTTATACATATAATTATACTGATATGAGGTAATAAATAATATAATATACTATTATATTTAGATATATAGTTATATACATTGTCACATTGTTCACTATACACATTATGTATTTAAAATATTTTATACAAATATATATATTATATTATATATTTTAATGACGTTTTCAATTTGTTCTACATGGTTTCAGATTTTTAGATTATTGTCTTGAATCTTGATAATCACACCAGCATGATTTTCTCCAAACGTACAAACATAGTCAATTTGAGTTGAGGAGAACTAAATTTTTGTTTTACATTTAATATTGGAGCAAACTTATTATCAAACTTCAGACTTGGATGAAATACTTTTAAAAAGCATTTGGAATAAAACTCGAATACTTATGAAACATAGTATTTGAATACTTCTGATTTCATAAAAATAGTATTCCAAATAAAGTATTTCAAATTCTTTTAAAACACTTTTTTTTCAGAATTGTGATTGTTCAACTCCTTTCAGTGTAACTCACTGCAGTAAGTGCAACTCATCCACCCTGGTAGGCAATGTGCAAAAATTCGATTTGATGCATGCTTGTACCTGATCTGCCCGATTAACCAATAGCAACCAATAATAAATAAATACTATTTCTATTAATTATTTCTCCTATAACAATAGCAAAGCATTGATAAACAAATATTTCCATCGTAAATCTCAAAATCCCTGTTTGAGCACTTCTATTAATTGGTCGTAGCTTGATGTTATATAGCCTACCTATAACCTCCATGAATGAATCCAACAAAAAAATAATTTCCTGTTAGTTCCTGCAGTGGCGTAGCCAGGGGGGTTCGGGTGTATACATTTTCCCCCCTAATAAATATATTGTTTATAGGGTTCGGGACTGCTTGCATGTTGTATTGTAGTGGTCGTAGATTATTTTAGATAAGTTATAAATTTGTGTTTTGAAATTTTTTTTTATGTCTTATCAAACCAAGTTTGAATTTGCATATTTTAGGAAAAGTGTACATTTGAGCGATTTTTCGCATATTCGTGCATATTTTGCCTTTTTTAAACTTAAATGTAAATACAATGGTCGGGAAAAATCATATTTGGATAACATTGAAAAATATCTTTAAAAATATCATGTTTGGTTAAGGACAAAAGGCGCTAGTTTTGAGATTTTGGGAGGCCGAAGCCTAAAACCATAAAATAATAAAATTGAATAAACTTAAAAAAATGTAGTAAATGTTTGAGAGGGCTGTTAAAATTGTTGGTGGAGCTTGGCTATGATTGGAATTATTTTCGCATATGGTACGTAATATTTTACTTTGTGACAAGACTGTGTTAAGACTATAACTGACATCTAGATTCTAGATTGTACGAAAAAATGAAAATCACTAGATACGTGTTCGTTTATCACGGTGTTCTCATATCACGTTATTCGTTATTACCTATTTATTAACCTAGTATTTATGCCAGTATTTTTAAAAATCAGGTTGTTTTATTTTACAATAGGTAGTTTAAAAATGTCCAAAACATGCAATACACCTAGTGATCTATCTGATTTTAAATCAAAAAAGTGATTCCTAAAGATTAATGAGCATCGAAGCCTAGAAACTTATAAATTCGACAATTTTTTTTCGAGAAATTACAATCGAACTTCTGGAAGTATATTTAATTTATTACCGCTTTTAAGTGGCGTGTATCATAAAAAAAAATTGGTGTTGCTCAAATAATTTTAGTAGACCTACCCCTCATAATACTGTTATACCGACCTATAAAATGATCTATTTTTTCATACATCGATACCCACCCATATATTTTAAGGTGTTGCCCAACAACACTTGGACCCTATGGTACACGCCACTGCCGCTTTTAGTAGTTTTTAGTTATGCAAACAAGATTATTATAATTTTTTGCAAAGTATTGGCATGTTCGAGAGTTGCCTAAGCGCGGCATTACAGTGATTTTCAGAAGCACATACTAATGTTCATTTATTTTATTACTCACACATATAATAATTATAGTCCAAATGTTTGTGCCATGTGAATTGCCTAAATATTACTCCTTAAAACATGCACCTTCAAGGTTTAACTATTGAAAATAATTTTGATATGCACTTGTTTGAACCAACATTGGTACAAAATGAACATGTTAGTGCCAACCAATGAAATCATTTTTAATTTGTCCAAGAATTTATTATCATTTTCCTAGTTAGTAGTAGTTAACTATTTAATAGATTAATGCTTTTTTGTATACATAATAATTAATTTAGTTTAATTTGTATAAATACTTAACTAAAAAAAATATCTAATTTAATTATAATAATTGGAATATTTTTAAAATAAGTGTATGGTGTACAGTATCGTTGTATAGGCACAAATTTAATTATTATTTCAGAATTAAAGCGCTCACAAGTTTATTTTTACAAAAAAAAAAATATATATATTATATTTATATAAATAAGATTAATAACTATTAAAATCACAAATCAAAGATTAACATTATGGAAAAAAAATGTTGTATATAATAATAAAATACATTTCATTCAACACTAAATTCAGGAGAAAAATATTTGTGAGAAATTGAATTTATAGTGCCTAATTTAAGGTAAATTCTGTACTTAAGTGACCAAGATTGCACGATTATGATAAATGTCGAAGTACAAGAGAGATGATTTATGATACCAAAAATTTATTTTGTTGCTGCCTCACGCTCTTCTCGAGAACGTTTTTCTTCATTTGCCAAACGAGTTTCTTCCTCCAATATCTCATCAAAGTTCTGCATTGAGTTGGATCGAGATGCAACTTTTGTCTAAAAATGTATATACAGAACAATTTAATACATTTCATTTTATATTATTTTATGGTATTTATAATTAATACCTTAACATTTTCCAAAGCTGAACCCACTTTTTCTTCAAAAGAACGGAATGATTCGGAGTTCTTAATTTGGCCAAGTTTAGTTGTGAGACCACTACCAAATCCTCCAAATATTGTTGTAGCTTTCTCTGCAGTTGTTTTTACTACAGATTCAGTTTTTTGATAGCTGTTAACAACATAATAATTTTTAAATATTTAAATATTTTTAGGGACTACAGACAAACATTATTAAAACAACATACCATTTTATTAGTAATTAGTGAAAATAGCTTGTAGTAAGTCATACAAGTTGGCAAAATCAAGAAAAGTCATGAGGGTTAAAAGAACAGTCATAGCATTAGATAAAAAGTCTGACACACACAACAATGTTTGGAAAATTGGAGTTAATTATACAAAATAAATAATCTTTAAAAAAAAATATATTTATAAAAACTTAACATCTTAAAAAGGAATTATTATGTTAATAATACAATAATACATATTATGTGGATAATACACTGGGATTATGAGTTTGAATATTTATCAATGTAGGTAACTAATTTATCGTTTTAATAATAACAAATTATTAGATTAATATTAAACAAACTGATTTAATTTTGAAAGATTTGAACAAATATTCATAAAACCAAGACATATATCTATGGTCTTTAATTTTATGATTTTTAAATTTAAGGCTTGATTATTGAAAAATAACAATTTTTTTATATTTCATCATAACTCTTTTGTGGATACAAAAAAAAATTAAAATCTAACGGTTTAAAATAAAAAAAAAAACTCAAACAGATAATATTCTAAGTCATAATATTGTGTGTTCATGCGTTACTAATACAAGGCAAAGACTTACATAGGCGTTTCGGTGACCGCTGATCCAAACTGCTTAACTTTGCCTTCTACATTTTGATAACTAAGTGTTTTTACAAAAATAGAAATAACTAATTAGAAGATAAAGCCAAAGTGCAAATAAGAACATTTACAAGCTACTTAATAATGAACTGAAACAAAGCATTAATTTTCTTCCATAGAACTCAAGAGTACATGCAAGAATGTACACGTAGATTTTATATACCAGTGTTTTAGAACCATGTTCCTGGTTGGGGTGCGCATGTCGCCCGATTCTGGTAAAGAAAAGTTGAATCTAGTAAAGAAAATACAATAATATTGTCATTGCTAAATCATGTATTATTACAATATACAAATTTAGTTAACGTTGGTCACTAAAAGTAATTAGTGCGATTCAAAGGTTTGGTTCAGTACAATATTTTTAAATTTCAAAGTATAATAATAACTACATAATTAAAAACAAAAATGTATTATATATTTTTTTTAAGTAAGAATTTTATTTCTACAAACTAATAAAATATTCCAGTTGCTACAAAATATTTATTAAATTTAAGAAAATTCAAAACAATATGTCTACAAAATTAAAATAATATATGGGTATTAATTGATTCTCAAAAATCAAAATGTAGGACAGATTATTCATTATAATTTACTATATAGTATTCTATTAAAAAGTAAATATAAAGATTAAGATCATGTACCTTACTTGTATTGAGATTTTATTAAATACAATTGCGTAATTTAGTACCTAAAAGCTCTGATTTCAGGGGTAGCATGAGACTATCTGGCCCATTTTCTATTAGTTTATTAATTATTTAAAACATAGGGCTTTTGGCGTATGAATATAAAATAGATTATGTGTATAAAAAAAGGTTAAATTGAGTTTTTTTATCATTTGGAGAGGTGCTAATATTATTTTAGGGGGGGGGGAAATTCCATAAAATCCCAAATTTTCATGGTGAGAGAGGGGATTTACGGCAGTCCATAATTCGTTATTGGCGTAAACGACTGTTCAAAAAATAATTCAGGGACAGCAAATACTGTCTCCGTGCACATTCCTATGGTGTAAATTATAAATTAATAAAATGTAACCCTTGTGTAAATATAAAAGGATGGGTACCATGTCATATCTAGATTAAAACAAACTACTTATTTTTAATATTTGGAAAATTGTAAAAAAAAATTTAATTGGAGTAATAATTTACTAGATGGTTTATCGTAACTGTTATTTTACATTGATAATCAAATTTGAATCGCACTAATATTTAGAAGCTGTGTTGAAGATGACTTTCATTTTGGCAGTTAATCAAACACTGATACATAAAATAAACGTTAGGAAATTGAAATGCATGTCTTTGTACAGAAGACTTACATTGGTGCGTCAACAACAGCTTTTCCAAATTGGGTAAATTTGTCCTCTACATTTTGATAACTATATAAAAATATAAAAATAATAAAAAATAATAATATTTATAATAATAGAAAGATGGAGGATAAAATCATAATAGTAATAAACCAAAAGCTAGCAAAATAAAAAAAAACTTCAGCAAACATGATGAAAAATATTCATAACTGAACTCACACATTTGACTCTTTAACGTTTCGTAAACTCTGTGACACATCTTCACTAATCTCTTGCCAAACAGTATAACCGAGCTTACGTCTAAGCTCTTGAGATGCTTTCACCTTTGAACCCAGCACTTCACGTAATGTCTTTATTTCTTCTTCGACCTTATTCAGCTCTTGTTGCCATTCTTCTTTCTGCTTTTCCTGTTCTTCAAGGCTAAGACCTTGCAATTCGTTAATTCCTGAATCTGGCGACATGATTACTGGGGGTTCTTCACCTAAAAAATGAAAAAAGTTATTAATTTGCTCAATTTTAAACAATATTATCACAATAACAGTGTCTGACAAACTGTAGGTTATTCTTGAAAAATAAAAGAATTACAAAGTATTACAACTATATGTTACTTAACAACTTAACAATATTAATAATATTATGCTTTGGTGAATGATGCATGCAAAATTTCTCAAAACCTAGGCACTATTTGATTGTATACTTTGTATGAACATCAAACATACAACTTTAATTTTTAAATGACCTAAGTAAATCATATTTACATGTTTCACCAACTAGAGATTAGGTATACTATTAATATATCTACTTTGGAAGCAATGAATTCTTAGTTTTTACACTCGAATCGCCATATAATATTATGTACTAAGGCTAAAATGATGTATAGATGTATTATATAATGAGGTATTTGATTTGTTTATTTGGAGTGCGATGGTTCGATACTAATTCAAATCATGTTTTAGTTCAATATAATGTACAAATACTATGAAGATATAGTAAAAAATAATGATATTGAATCATACATGAGTGTTAGACTTCAATTATCTATTTTTTATACGCAATCAGTTTAAATAGGTATCTAATCAAAAACTTCTTTTCGGATAAGTAGCATACATAAAATCTAAATATTAAATACCGCCTGAAATCTAATATTTTGATTTTAATTTTAACCATGCGGCATACCGCATACGTCATAAGCGACGTCATAGAGATTACGTAACGTATATTCACTTATTAAATAGTTTAAGATACTACAAAGTATAATTCTACGTATAACAATATCAATATGAACCTATGTGGTACACTGGTACCGGCACCCGGTCCGAAACTTTATAAATGCATACATGCAGATGAATTATGATTTATGGATGTATCGGATGCATCCGAATAAGGAATAAATAATTAGTCCACAATAACTGTAACCAATTCATGCATTATTATTATTATTATTGTTATTGCCTATTGGTTAGGTCACCAAACACGAGAATGTTTACAATTGTTTAAATGATTTCCAAACACGAAATTGCAAAATGACGTGTACAAACCGACAAAAAATTAGTAAATATAAATTAAAACAATAATGGTCTGTACTTTCTTGACATGCCGGCAAATAAGTAACTGCAATGTATGTCATTAATTGTTGTACGAGTGTCAAATTTTCGATTTTGCTCGAATTAGTTGACCAATGAATACGTGATACACTGATACGTGAATACGTGATACGTAATAAAATAGATAAAAACGACACTATTTTGAAACAAACACTAAGTCGTAGTTGCCACATACTATAATGGTTAACTTTAACTATAAAAAAACTATATAGCTTAACTACCTATTATTACTGCATCTAGGCACCAATAAGTGTATCGATTAAATAGAAAATAATATTGTTGAACAAAGATAAAGAAAATAGTAAAAACCACGAATAATAAATAATGATAAATATATAAAATAGGAATATAATATATTTGAGTCATTTGGAAATTGGCGATATTATCATCGGTACTAATTCCAAGTAAATTATGTACCTAATATCTACATTCTACAGGCTTTTCAATAGTTTGAATTCGTTTAAAATTATATGCGTGTGAAAATTAAAAGCCGATGATATTCCAAAGACATATTATATTATGGGAGTGAAACATTTGAAGACTTATGACAAATATTAACTTGAACAAAAAAATATTTCAAAAAGAAAAAAAAACAAATTATTTCATTTGACCTGGACTCTGGAGTTAATAAAATTATCGATTTGCGTTAAAATAACACAGAACTAATCACTATAATTATATCATATTATTATAATTTATAATTGATATTTTGTAACTAAATATCGAAGTATGTGACTGAACAAGTTAATTGTGTACGTTTGTATCGTTAGATCATTATAATTAGATAAATAAAATGAGGCATGTAAGAACAATCATAATATAAGATAAGAGTCACTAACAATTGTTTTTGAAACGTTTAATTTAAATTCATATTAATTTTTATAGGTACGAGCAAACAGTGTGACTAATACAATAGATTAAACTATTAGATTTAATAGTATAAATTGTTTTTATTATTGTAACATAACATGGAAATATTATTTTAGTTTTATAATACATAGACGGTGAGTTTATAAATTTATAAAACATATCATAACAAGTACCTCGAAGTCATAACTCATAACGCAAATGTTGCGCATGTAGAAACTGTCTAAGATTTAAAAATTTAAGCGTAAAACAACAATAGGTACATCATAGTTTGAATCAGCAAACGTATCTACTTCCATGATTTAAATCAAAAAATAATTTGCATACAATACTTAGTAGAAAAATACAACTGCGTTAGAACAATGATGAAAAAAAGAATACTTTTTATGATCATGAGATTTAACTATATAATATTATAGGAAATTCTTATAAAATTATTTATCCCATCAATAACCACTGTAAATTATGGTCGTTTTAGACTTTCGGTATACAAACAGACAGTTATATTATATCAGCATTCAGCACGTCAATAATTTTGATACTAACAAAGAAATATAATGAATAAAATACTGTCTAATGTCCATAAAGAAATATAAATCTAAAATCATAATTAATTATTTCCAATTACGATTATTATTTATTACAGTATTACCGAGTAGTAATTAATTTAAGCGTTAATGTCATAGTTATATATTTTCAATTTTGTATAATTATTATTCGATGTTTTAATGATAGCCGATAGGTACTCTTTATAATCGTAAAAAAAATAGATGATAACGAAATCGGAACTACGGATATAATGTTAAAATATAAGTATATAACCTGACATTTAAACCCACATATTATTATCAACAATCACAATATACTCAAATACTCAATACATGGGCGTGATTCGAAGTCAGAACTATTTCACAGATGTGACCACAGACTGACAAAGAGTAATTTTTTGAGAAGTTCAGTAATGAACTATTTGTTATGAATTTCTACATGATTATAATATTATTATAGTTTCGCAGGGTTGGCTATTGCGAGAGTGGTCAAATACGTAAACTGTTAACACGTCTTTATCATCTCAATATTATAATATTATCAATTATCATTTACCTATCATTAATATTTTACGATTCACGCATAATATTAATCCGATTCTTATTAAGTACCCATTACTTTACAAATCCGGAGTAGGTAAGTACTCGAGTAGTGTCACGTGTGACTACCAGTCGTCACTCATCTACAAAGTTGTTATCCGTTGAACTATAAATTGCACGGATAAGTTGATACGAACAATATATCTATATTTCTATAAATGTTGATCTAATTGAATGAAAAAAAAGTACCGACACCCGCCAACTACATTACCACACAACTATTAGGTAATATTTTACGCAGTTATATCCGTTGGTACGGTACCTGAACACGATAAAACAATACGAGGTAAGACATTCATATATTACAAGGTAGGTAGGTAACAATAAATAATTAACGATTATTCGTCAGCACGCGCGGAAAAATGGAACGCGAATACGTGACGGGCCGGTTGAACAGAGAAACGACGTGGACGTTTATAATATTATGTGTAACACCGGTCGCAGACCTTTTTTTTTTACGATCCTCGCCAGCTTCTGGTAGCTCTTGTGGTCTCTGATCTTGTCCATGAACTTGACCTTGCCAGTGGTCGAGGACGATGACCGCGAATCGGTGGCCGAGGTCGATGCCGTCCGGGCCACCAGCGGAGAGACGTCGTCCTCTTCGCCGACTCCATCGTCGTCGTCCGGATCGGATACGTCCTCGTCAACGATGACGAACGTGCTGCCCAGCGTAGCGTCGTCCACGTCAAAACTAGGAGTCTCTGTGGACATGTAAGCGGTCTCTTCGTCGTCGTACTCCAGCGACGGCAGATCCACGTCGTGCACGATAGCGTCGCGGGCCATCCCTCCGGAAGGACGGACCAACTCTGTGTCCCGTGGTGTGGTGGTTGGTCGTGACGTTACGTCCAACAGTGGCGGAGACGATGGTCGGAGCGTTGCATTTTCCGAACGCGAAATGGAACAACGAACTCGGTCGCGCGCTCAAGAATAAGTAGTCCGATCGGGCAAGACGACGGTGACGGCGAAAGGGAGACACGCGGGAAACGGCAAGATACGAAACATTTGGTGTACGTCACCGGCTGCGTACTGTAGGCCGTATCGGAGGAGACCGGTTCGGTCGTCTCCGCACAGGCCAGAGTGTTATTCACATTTTTGTTATTTATTTTCTCTCTTTCTCACTCCATATCACTCACGCTCCCCCCCATTCTCTCATGCAGCTCGCTAGCTCACTATCATCCCCTCTCAATCAAACTCTGAAATGCGTTATTTTTTACAGCACGAGAAAAATATAATAACGACATTATTGCCAACCAAAATGTATGAAATACCGTACGTCTGTTGCGTATGTTGTGCGGATGCCGGATACGTCAACAAATTTGATATTAGAAATTGGGATTTGTGTGGGCTCAATATTTTTGTTATACGCACATGTTTTTTTATTGGTCTCTCGTAAATGCTTATTATAGGTAGGCACCGTGAAACATATTATGTACCTAAATCGATGTTTGACGAATGACGACACTACAAATTTTAACTAATAAATTGGTCCATATCGTATAAATATAGTAATTATTATACAACATACAGTATTTAGTCTTGAGTCTATAAGGTAGAGCCCAATAAGGCAATAACATATTATAACTGTTCATTTGTGGAACTGTCTGGACTAAAACAGTAAAACGTGCTGTAATAGCTTTTTCTAAATTATGTTTACCTGTACGGCTGTACCAAACCCAAACAAAATGTATGGTTAATGAAATAATATAGTATATATAAATTTGTTAAGAATTTTACCCAAGACGCGCAATTAAAATAATCTTTTGTAAAATACTTTATAATCGGTATAAGCTACCAAATATGTACTATATTATTAGCCAATAACATTGATAGTTTACAGATAGGTATATTGTATAAGATTCGCGTAAAACAAACTAAGCTTATGTTTTAATTATAATTTTAAAATACAAATATACAAGAGAAATAATAATAATATTGAATGATATAGTAAAGTCAAGATAATGAATACTGAATCCAATTTATATCTATAAAATCGATTTTATGGACAATAATTATAGACTTTGCCTTACCTATCATGATAAGCATAAGTTTTATGATTTTTAAAAATAATTTTAGTTTTCAATAACTAAAAAAATTGTTGAATTCAATCCCTATCAGCTACCATAATAAAAGATTAGAAAATCTATAATCTTAACCATAATCGTGATCCCTACAGAAGTTATGTCTAAAAACAATATTATAGTTCACGTTATTGATAATTTATCACTACCCAAATCAACATCACGCCAGATAAAATGGCTGTACTATGTCTGTACTCGCTACTCTTTATAATGTATATATATGTATGTAAAATGTATTACTATATATAAGAACATAAATAATTAATATTGAATGGTTATATATAGGCACATGGCTATTAACATATCCCAATCAAAGTAAAAAAGTTTATTTAATTCAATATTTTGTCAAGATTGCTAAATATAAATCAGCATCATTTTTAAATATATTTAATTAATAATATTAACTCATCAAATTGCGACTAAAAATGTATTTGGTTAATAAATGAAATAATTTAATTTATACAAAACAATATGATTTTTATACAAATAATATAAGGACATTATAATATGGTCATACAGTATACACTTATACAATATTTAGTTACATATATCGGCTATCATAATATAAAGAGTAAAAACTCGGTAAAAAGTAATATATTATAATCACTACTAGTTAAAGGAACGAAAGACGTAACAATGTTCACAATCTGACTAAAAAGTTAAAGACGTGATCTGAACAATGAACATAACCAACTTCCGTAAGAAACTAACTATTGCATAGTAATTTCCAAAATACAAAAGTACATGATCATATTATACAAAAATACATTAGGTACTAGCATTAAGCATTTTCGTATTTGGCTACCGTACGTGTTACAGAACCCTGGAGGCCAGATATAAACAATAACAGAGATAACCAGGTGCTCAAAATCGTTAATATGAATCGGGGGAAGTCGCTCAAATTGTTGGCATTATAATTATTTATTTATAGGCGGTGTTCATGTCGTATTCTGTGTTCCCATTTTTTTTATAAACTCTCTAAAAATAGAGAACTTAATGAATACAATTAAATTAAACTGAAAAATATGTATAATATACTATATTAGGTATATAAATATAAAATGATTTGATCTAAATTTGATTGCTTCCAATTTTTTAATTATTATACATTAAACATTACGTTAAAGCGTTGAGCTAATAGCTTTTTAATGAAAATAGAATCAATAATATTATAATATTATGTACACGCGGATTGGGTGAAAATTAAAAAGTTAAAATTGTACTCAAATACTCAATCAAGGAAGGCTGCACCTTTCTTTAGGAAATGTATGACTCATTGAGAGTTCAAATGAATGGTGAAAAATGTTCAATAAACTTTTTTCTTTCCATTTCTAACACTAAATAGTAAATAGCATTCAAAAAATTAATTAAGGCACTCCTACTGTACTTACTCAGATACACGTTTTTACTTAAAACATTCACCTATTATTAATTTTGGTAGGTATGTTTAATCTAGTAAACATTATTTAATCACAAAATTAACATGCATTAACTAAATCATGAATTACTCATATATTTTTTTAAGTTTTGTTTCATTTTACCATAATAAGTTATATTTTATACTACGAGAAGAAAATATATTAAAACTCCTTAAAGCTCATTAGTTTAATATTAAAAGTTAATACAAGCCATTTTCAAAAAATACAAGTAATACAAGTATTTTATTACCTTATGTTCATACTTAAAATAATATTCAAATATGTAAATTGTAGAGACTTACCTATCATAATTTTATCTACATAACAGATAACATATTGTGTAAGTTTATTAATATTTTAATAAGCAAGCTTTATAATGAAGTTAATATCACTAAAATTATTTTTCATTTTCTCTGATGATTGAATATTTATTATTATTATTTTTAAAGTTTTCCTGACTTCTTGCTGTCTGAGCTTAACGATAAAGATAGTACTTTGACCAATACTACAATAAGTTTTCAATATTTTAAAATTAATTAAATAAAAAATTCTATTAAATAAATAGATATATAGGTAATAGGAATTAAAAGAAAATAATTATGTTTTTATTCAAATAGTTGCATGTTAATAAAATACCTACAGGAAATCAATAATTATTATTTTAAATCTAAAATATTAAAAAATGTATGATCACTAATTGTTTTTAACTTTAATCTCTGTAATGTCTAAATAGGTGGATTACAATTCATATTTGATTATCCTCAACATAATATAATTAAATTGAAGCAAATGTCTAGCGTTCACAATTTAATTTATTTCTTCATTACAAAAAAAAAACTACAAAAGTAAATACATATTGCTATAAAGTTGAACCACCAATGATATTGTAATAAATTATCAAGTAATGAATAAAGTAAATGACAATATATAGTACCTACAAATTCACTTTTTTTGATGCGATTCAAACAGATGTCTAATACAATAGTTATTTATATTCGTCAAATCAAATCATAGGTACATTGATTAGAAAGAATTGCAATTGGAAATGTTAGTTATTTGATACAAATAGCATGCACTATAATTTAACTATCTATTACAAACCTACATACATAAATATGGATATTAATGTTTGTTAATAAGCCATTAGAGCTTGTGTTTTGACCCGAATAGACATAATACAAAGCTTATAAAATAGTTAGTGCACTTACCCACTGTGAGAGTACTCATTCTTCGATAATTGAATACAACTGACTAAAGTAGATATTATATTCACACAGTTTTACAATACGTTTGTACAAATATAATACTGTAACAATTAAAAGTGCAAAGTCGAACTTCAAGTTGTGTGTAGCGATTTTTCTGGTCGGCTTATCATTTATCAATGACGTCGGTGTTTTCTTCTGGGGCAACAATAGATAAAATAATAAATCTATGTGTGTACAATATACGTATATAAATATAAAAAATACCAGTGTGACCAACCGGAACGAGTTGTACTTCGTAAATAATTGATTAATTTTGTTCATAACTCATAACACTTAAAAGTCATAAGCACCAACTAAATAATAATATGCATAATATCATGTAGATAACCGTGGTCACAAGTCACGACAACAAAAATACATTATAAACTCAAAACAAAGGCTTCTATAGTTCTTTAATCTACCTATAGTTACTATAAATTATTTGTAGGTACTAAGATTTGTTATGTATAGTTTAATATATTATAAATTACAATATAATATTATATGTTATAAATTATGACCTAATTATAATGGACTGTAGTAGTCAGTAGTGTACATTTTAATAGGTATATTATAAAACAGTAGTAGTCCATATACGATGTACCTACATTGTAGGTACCTACCACAAACGCATAATGGTGTTATTCAGATTTTATACTACATTTAGGATCGGGATTCAGTAATCCCTAACCGTTCTTCAAATTGTATTTTATTCTTGTCTTCAATCCAATTATGAATTAATCCTTGTGTAGTTGTGTGTGTACCTACTCTTTAAACTCATTACTCATTAGTCATTAAATAATTAATAATTCTGAATGGTAGGACTGATAGGTATTTGTCTATAACCATTAATCATTAATCATTATATATAAGTTATAACTTATAATCAACCAGCCCCTATTTTTTTATATTTTAGATTCTGAGCGGAGCGATGAATGTATTGGTTTTACAATGATGTATGTTTTTTTTTATATTTTAATTTATATTTTTATATTTTTGTGTCTGTCATCACGTTTTAGGACAGTAAAAGTGCTTGGATTTTC